AAAGATTTATTTATTTATGCTTACAGAACTGGGTTACAGGCCAGGGGAGCACGGGGTGAGAGGATTCACCAAGACAGAGTGGAGAGCAGAATAGGCAGATCTACTGTAATACATTGCTGAGGGGTGCAGCGGGCGAGAGAGGATAGGTTTTCTGTGTCATGTAGTTCACCTCCCTCGTGCTGCAGTGACTGTGGATAGCTTCAGAGTTCCGCACTCTAACTCATTACACCACTAGGGAGGGCTGAGAAATAGCACTTTTAAGAGGCCCAGTTGAGGCATCACAATTCAAATCTTATTGTGCCTGTATATTTCAGCCTCAAAGATCTGACTATGTCAGCCCATGGACTACCTGTAAGTCCATCATTTCTGAGACCCATGCTGAGCAAGCTCATAGCAGAAGGTGCTAAAAGCTAGAATTTCAGATCATTCATCTACGGTGGAGAATGCAGTTTCCATGTTTGCGGAAACCAAGGTCAGAGACCTTGTTTACGTTTGACAATGTGAAAGAATGACGCTTAGCTCTCTGTTCAAGCTTGCTTTTAGCTGTTTATTCTCAGAGGCTTCTAAGCAGTGCAGAGATATCTAAGTAGCCTGTTGGGACAATGCTACTCTAGTAAAAAAAGACACCCTCAAATACAATATATGTTTTTCACTTATTAGGCAGTATTCTCCTGTCAAGTAATTCTGGGTCACAGGATTCCTTCATTTTGTGGTTCTGCTGTTCTCTAGGGCTTTGTCTGAAGGGGAAGAGGGCAGAGAGAAGCCTAAGAGCTTTCTGAAAAGGGTTAGTCTAGAAGTGACAGATCTGTTACTTGTGTTTGGTTTCGATATGATGGCAACTTTTCATGGTATGTTTGAAAGCAAGTGAGGCTGGGGATACAGTAGCAGACAGGACGTCTTGCCAGCAAGAAGCTAAGTGATGGGCAGAGAGTACACACTTAGTGGATAGCAAATCTCTACTACTCAAGAGTAGCCCTCTTGTCCTTCCTTTACTTATGGAGGCAGGGTGGATGGTGTTGGTTACCCATGTGGAGAGACATTTGCCAGTTTGGAGGAAGGTACAGCTGAGGTCTATATATCCTTAGCCACCAAAAACCCAACTTCTA